ATGGACCCCTTTTAAACGTACACAAATGTGTGGTTTTCCATACGCGGAAACTATACGGCTCGTAGTTTGGAAACCCTGAATTCAAGTTCAACGAAAGAGCGAGTTCAAAATTATTCGGGAATGGGTAAAGTTTTTGAAAACCGAATATTATCCTTCCCCCGAATATAATGTTGGAAAAAAACGTAATTTACTACCGAATGAGCTAAAGAATGAACATTTTTATGCATGTTTTCCATTTAATATAATTAAACTTTTAGGGGCATCGAAAATTAAGGAGAAAAATTCGTGCTTCATAAGTAGTCATTTTTTGCAGAGTATAACTCTTGAATGCAGCCGACAAGAAGTTGGTTCGAAGACCGATATCCTGAGTTAACTGAATAAGCATGAAATTACGCTGCACAACGGTTACTTTTACAACCTTACTTAATTAATCTTTTTGAAACTAAAACTTATTTCGGAATTTCGGTTGACATTTCATGACTTAACCCACCTACTGTACTGGAAATTCCCCAACATACAAATAAAACAGTTACTCTTGAGGAGATGAAGCATAATACGTAACAAATAGGGAGTTCAAAGGTTTAACACCTATATTTCCCTCAAATAAACTGAACTGAAAAAACTGAACTGAACTGAACGTATTCAAGAAAATGTTGAATGACGTACAATCAGGTTTTGTAGTGAACGGTTCTCTAAATGATTTGGACGTATCTGATTGAGCTGACACAATATTATATTGCCAAAAACTAAAGAATAAAAAACACTGTTGTTTTTTAAATTTCCTCAGAAATTCACTTGCGCGAAGTTGGAATAGATCAGTATATACTAGGGTCTATAGGCGCAGACTGAAATTTAATGCGTGAATATTTGGGCCGAAGTCCATCAGTCACAGCGCGATAACCGCGTAATATTCATTAATTGGGCTTTTAACGAGTACCTCTAGTCCTAGAAGGGTATGTTATAATCCCAAAATATACTAGTAGCTGCCTGTCGGCAGCAATGAATAGTGCACGGTTATCGCGCTGCAAGTGATGGATTTCGTCCCAAATATTTATATACAAATTTCGATCTGGGCTTATAAACCATAGTATATGCTGACCTACTCTATGTTCACATTTAATTCCGGAGGAAATTAAAAGCAACTAGTTGCAAACAGGAGAATCTACCAGAAAGCCGACGGGGAAAGCTGAGAAACCCACTGATGAGCCCAACCTCTCGCAGCTGCGCCATTTAGCGGCAGAATATCAGTGAAACACGTGTTTCTGGGCGTTTGGCAAGGACCTGTGTATGTTTCGGTAGAGTACGACATATAAAGGAGAAATTTCCTATTTCCTCGCCGAAGACGATTACAAGATCTGCATTGTCGTCCGACGGTGGACGTCGCCATTTGACCGACGGCATATATCCACGCTCAGACCAGTCACTGTCGCCTGCATACTCAATGCCGCTGGTTTCATCCATAAGAAATCGTAGAAGCTACCACCAGCGGGATTGTTGCTTCTGATGGATCAGACATCGACGCATTGGTTTAAAAACCTGAAGTGTTTTGCACTTTCAATCACAAAACTGGGGGGCTGATGTTAAACTGCGTGCTTTCTGTAATGTTCGTAGGTCTCCAGGACACTACAGTTCAGAGGTCGTCGTCCCCAACACATAAAAGAAGGGTAGTCAACTGTGTCCTTATCTTCCCAAACGCAAAGTCTGCATCGCGAACGATGGAGGCAATGCGGCTAGAAAAATTTCACCAAATATCACATTGACGGACAATAATGGAGTCCCCTTCGCATCAAAGTTAGAATGCTGGCCTGTAATTCTATTGCAACACCGATTATACTTTCACACTGTGGGCGACATGCCTCGTAGGCGCAAAGGTTTATCACTTTATAGACTTACCATTGAGGGGAAATTATTATTTGCAGCCAAATGGGCAGAACTGCCTGGCCGACATTCATTATCACGCTGTCCGCATCGCTGCGTAGCCCACGCATAGCACTTACGCGGTTCATCCAAGCGAGTTAGTATAGGACCTGGTTGAAGAGGATGGCATGCCAACGGACGCAAAAATTTCAACAGCCGTACAGTTTGCTGTCGCATATTGCCCTGGAATTATCTTGTTACATTGGTCCGGGGTCTTGAGAAAAACTCAGGCGGCGGGGACTCTGCGGCTAGACAATGACTCTGAATCTGAATCCCACATAGCCAGCACACAGAGGTCGCGCAGACACAGCCCGACGGTGAGCTCACCTCACGATGATGAAAACAGGCCGCCAGATCAACCAACCGCGACGGAGGTGGGGTGATGGCTCACAACGCGCGCAGCTTAGAAGCCGACTATACATCTCCCCCGAAAAGCCGAGGCGACGAAAGAAGAAAAATCGATTAGGACGATGCAGAGAAGCGCATCACGTCGCTTATATTTCGGTTCGATTAAGTGCATTTTAGGTTGTCGAAATAGTACGCCGACCAAGCTCTACAAAAACGTCAGCACAGCAATAAACCTGTTCCGGTGAACCCCCTTCTTATATCTTTAAATAAACAGATTTATACTTATTGAATGTTCTTTTCAGATAACAGAAAACGTGAAAACAATTCCTGCCTTTTCATCTCCTCAGACATTGATCACGACGTTGGAGTAATGCAGCATATACTAAAGTCCTTAGGCGCAGACCAAAATTTGATGTATGAACGTTTTGGCCGTATTCCTTCAGCCACGGCGGGATAATCGCGCTACATTCATTACCTGTCAACAGGCAGCTAGTAGTAGATTTAAGCGTTACATAATAACGTACTAACACCACAGGTGCTAGCCAAAAACCCATACACGCTTGTTTTGCTCATATTCCACCGCCGCATGGCACAGCTGCATCGCGCAGCTGCGAGGGGTTCGGCTCGTCAGTGGGTCCCCCAGCATTCCCCACGTGCTTTCTGGTAGATACTCCAATTTAGAAATTGTCGCTTTTTAATTTCTTCAGAAAGTAACTGCTAGCTTGCAGCATATTAGTTGATACTAGGGTCTATAGGTGCAGACAGATTAGCTACAATTAAGTAGAGTTGTAAAACTAGTCAGCCTGAAACATATTTCTATAATATTTCAGTTACCTCAGAATGACGGCATTCAAATGAACTTCCTTCCGGCTGCATGCAAAAACTACACTGTAAAAAATGATTTCTTACGTAGCATGTTTTTTTCTCATCGATTTTCGTTGCCCCCAAAAGTCCAGTTATATTTCATGGAAAACATGCATAAAAGTATTCATTCTTTTTGCTCATTCGGTAGACAATTACGTCATCTTCCAATCTAATACTCGAAGGAGGGACATAATTCAGTTTTCGGAATTTCGGTTGACATTTCATGAGTTAGCCCACCTCCTGTACAATTGCGACCTGCAGCCAATGAACTACCCGAAATTCATCCATCCAACTTCACCCCGAGCAATCTCTTTTTTTAAAAAAACAGAACCACCATATTATTTTAGACATATTGGGGTCTTAGTTAAAAAGTCTAGAAACATTTATGACTTCAAAAGTCGACTAAAGTCTTTGGTAGAAAACCAAGGGAATGTTTACGCCCAGGCAGATAAACACACTTCGTGCTCAGAATATTGAATAAATTGTGCTACCTAAATAAGAACCTGATACACTTTAAAAGGCCTTTATCATAGCGTACTAAATGCTAGCTCGCGACACCCTTCAGCGTATCACAAAATCTCTCGAAATGTCACTCCATCGACTCTACGCCGCAATGTTACAGAACAGGATTCCGAGGTTTGCTACTTCGGTCCACAATTAGATCAATACACAGTCAACTCCATCGCACATTAACAGGATGCCTGGCATTAAATGCCCTTCAAATTCGAACAGACAACATAAGAACTCCATTCAGTAAAGCATTTATAGTTTGCCACTCAGTTATGACAACGACGAAGATCCATCCATAGTCAGTTATGCTATTTAATTAGTAATGCTTGAACACCAAAGTATATCCAATGTCATTGGAGAGCGGACAATTATTTGTCGTTGTGGTAAGGCGATTGGTAAAGAATATGTAAATGACTGTTGGTAAGCTGCCTTGACAATGCATGCGATATTTCCTATGAAACGGTGAGCTGACACCTGAGGAATGACCAGCCCTCGAGAGGACATCGACGACAGTGGATCTAAGCATTCACTGAAAATGAGGAGCAGTTTGATGAAGTAAGATGTAATTTGCGCAAAGAATGCATGTGAACTTTACTTGATGTAAATTTTGTGGAGGAAAAACGCTCCTTCATCTCCTGAAAGCTTATGTAACTGTATGTTGGAATTAGTATGACTTCGTAGTTATAAAGAACTCTAACCATCTCCCTTAGTTACAACTCATAAAAATGTGTCAAACATTCAAGGGTATAGTCTGTCATATTAATTCAATCAGCTTGCGCGACCGTACCTGCTTCATCAAAGGACTTGTGGAAGATACTTGTAAGGTGGGAGGATGTGAACGGAACTCCTGCGATATAAACCATACCCAATTTGGTAGTAATTTGATCAGCACACGCCGATTAACCTGTTGGCTACGTAGCAATAGTAGTCGCCAAGAGGCGTTGACCTATTTCGCAACGCAGATTCGGTAAGCTTTCCGCTAAAGCCGATGAGGGATGAAATTGGCCTCAACGAAAACACGTGTTTCGATGCACGTGAGTATGTCGTAATTCGTAATGTTCTCACGAACTAACGAGTTATATCTCACGAGCCCCTAGCCTTAAATGCAGCAAGTAAATCGGAGCAGTGAATAATATAGAGGTTTTTGAACGTTAAGAAAGCTGACAACAGAATACCACAGCAGAGCACGCTAGCACGGCGGGTTGTACGGGTGTGTCGTTTCTCGTCACATTCAAACAAGCAATGCGGTCAAAGGAAATGGGACTAAATTGTCAAAGGTAAATTAGTCTGGTACCTCACCACAGTACCCCCCTTCTAGACCGGAGGGCGACGGGATACGGCGCCGGAGGATATGCACAAGTCTAGAAAAAATGGGTAACTAAACGATCGGGAAAATGAACGTGACGGCCACTGCGAGTTATGCATGCAGGAGGTACAGTCGAAGAGGGTTGACTGCGTGCTGTGGTGGACGATGGTGTTGCAGTTGGATGCTGTTGACATGTAGGGAGAGGAAGTATGCGGGACGGAGGGGTAGAGGGCAAGGGAGGGGAAGGGCAAGGCAGTGGGCAGGGTGAACGAGTAGGGGATAGGGAAGATGGAGGAACAGGGGTTAGGGGGTCAGCACATGTTTGTCCTTGTGACAGGTCCGGCGGCTCCTCCGCAACAGCAGCCTTGACCCGATCGACACTGACCACGTCCTCCTTGTCATTGCGAAGAATTCGGAAGGTCTTGGTGTTGCGCGCGAGCACGCGGAACGGTCCTTCATATGGTGATTCCAGCGACTGGCGCACACGATCACACCGGACGAACACATGAGTACATTTGTCCAAGTCTTTTTCGACATAAGACTCAGTCATTGGAGCTCGAGGTGGAACCGGGGAAAGCGAGCGCATGAATTGCCGCAAACGGTGCACAAGATTGTCAGGAGTCTCGTCGGCTCCACGAGAGGTTGGGGTGATCATCTCGCCTGGCAGTCGGAGGGTAGTGCCGAAAACCAATTCGGCTGCGCTACAGCCCAGATCTGACTTCAGAGCTGCGCGGATGCCGAGGAGTGCAAGAGGAAGGTTGTCCGACCAGTTTCCTGGGTCTTCTACGGCACGCAGGGCGGTCTTTAGCTGGCGATGGAAACGTTCCACCATACCGTTGGCAGCGGGGTGGTAGGCTGTCGTCCGAATGCGTGTGCAGCCAAGGAAATTGAGTAGCGTTTGGAAGAGAGCCGACTCAAACTGGGCACCACGATCAGTCGTAACCGTGGATGGGGCACCGAACATGGCGACCCAACGACTGACGAAGGCCTTCACGATGGTTTCAGCCTGAACATCCGGCAAAGGAATAGCTTCAGTCCAGCGAGTATATCGATCGACACAGGTAAGGAGGTAGGTGAAACCATTGGATGGAGGCAAGGGGCCTACGACATCCAGGTGCACATGGCTGAACCGTGCGTCGGGACTGGGGAAGGTGCCTGGTGGGGACTTGTTGTGACGCTGCACCTTGTTGCGCTGGCAGCTCAGACACGACCGGGCCCAAGCTTTGACGTCCTTGTTCATGCCAGGCCAGACAAACCTTTCCGCGAGGAGCTTTTGAGAGGCTCGGATCCCAGGGTGGGAGAGTTCATGTAGAGTTTGAAATACAGCTGGACGCATCGAGGCGGGCACAAAAGGGCGATGAAAGGGAGTTGAGACGTCACAAAGTATGGTACCAGAGCCGGTGGTCAGAGGAACGTCTCTGAGCTGAAGACCACTAACAGACTCGTCGCCAGGACAACCGACTCGCTGCTGCTCAGCCGCCATGGCACAAAGATCGATCCCGTGTGAGAGTTGGAGGGAAGACAGTGAGGGTCTGGACAGCATATCAGCCACCTCATTCTTCGGGCCATCAATGTGGCGGATGTCGGTGGTGAATTGCGAGATGTAATCCAAATGAGAAATCTCTCTCGGGCTATATTTGTCAGAATGGGATCGGATGGCAAATGTAAGTGGTTTGTGGTCTGTGAAAATGGTGAAGTCACGACCCTCAAGGAAGTGTCGGAAATGTTTTACGGCTAGGTAAATGGCAAGAAGTTCACGGCCAAACGTGCTATATCTCGTCTCGGCAGGTGAAAGCTTCTTGGAGAAGAATGCCAACGGTCGTGTCGAGTTGTTGATATGCTGTTGGAGGACTGCTCCTACGGCAACGGTTGAAGCATCAACCATGAGGGACAATGGGGCTTCTGGAGCAGGATGAGTGAGCAAGGTAGCATCAGCAAGGGAGGTCTCTATTCTCTCAAATGCAGTCAGCGCGTGGCCACGTAACTCAAGGGGACCCTTGGGACCAGAGAGCAAGTTGGTGAGTGGCAGCATAAGGTCGGCACAGTTCGGTAGGAACCGGCGATAAAAGTTTACCATGCCAAGGAAACGTTGCAGCTGACGCTTGGAGGTTGGTGGAGGAAAGTCACGAATGGCCTCAACCTTGGAAGAGAGGGGACGCAAACCTTGTGCATCGATATGGTGACCAAGAAAATCAAGGGACGGCACACCCAGGACACACTTGGAAGGGTTAATGACCACGCCAAACTGATCGAGGCGGTCAAACACTAAGGCAAGATGCTCTTTGTGTTCCTCGGCATTGCGACTGGCCACCAAGAGGTCATCGATGTAGGCGTACACAAACGGGAGACCACGTAGGACTCGATCAATGAACCTCTGAAATGTTTAGGCAGCATTGCGAAGACCAAATGGCATGCGAACAAATTCGAACAGGCCGAATGGTGTGGTGACGGCAGTTTTGGGAACATCCTCAGGAGCGAAAGGAATCTGATGGAAGGCCCGAACAAGGACTAGCAATATCTGTATCCAGGACAGATAAGTTGGTGGGGGCAGTAAATGGAGTTAGTCCACGGACGAACAGACCGGTTTTGCGGTCGAGGAGACGGGCACGTCGACAGTCAACAAGGAGATCGAACTCGGCAAGGAAGTCCGAGCCGAGGATTGCATGAGGGGCATCAGCAATCACAAAGATCCAAGTAAATGACCGACGAAGGCCAATGTTCAGGGTGAGGGACAGACTGCCAAAAGTGGGAATTGGGGAACAGTTAGCAGCTTGAAGATGAAGACCAGGACTAGGGAAACGGCGATCAGCTGCAGTTGGGGGAACAACACTGATTTGAGCTCCAGTGTCCACCAGAAAACGTCTGCAAGTCGCAGTGTCGCAAACATAAAAGGTGCGACCAGAGCCGGAGGAGCCAGAGAAAACGGTCGCATCTATTCTCTGGCTGACTGGTTTCCCTGTTTTGGCTTAAAAGAGCAAGGTGAGGAACAGCGACGGGCCTTTACGCCGAAATTAGTGTGGTACCAGCAAGTATCAGCAGTCCGAGGTCGCGAACGAGAACGACGACGACTGCGTGAGCGACTGGAAGTTAGGCTGGCGAGCTGTATTTTAAGAGAGGCCATCTCATCTGCCATGGCCGACACCTGTTTTAGTAAATGCTCATTCACTGACGATGAGGATGAGATCTGGGCAACGGAAGGTGACTGGAATCGTTGCACCTCTATCATTCGATCGGCCACCTCAGCCAACTGTGACACTGAGAGATCCTGAGAGCCGGACGCCAGGATCGTTTGAACATCTGTGGGCAGGCGCTCCAGGAACATCTCCTTGACAAATTTATCATCAACTTGCATGTCTCCAAGGAGACAACGCAACCGACGTAGAAGCTCTGAGGGCTTCCGGTCACCCAGTGACTCCTCGTTAATTAACTAGTGATACCTCTGTCGGTCAGACACAGAATTAAGTCGGAGGATTTCTGCCTTTAACGCGGAGTAGGGAGCATCTGCAGGAGGATTAGCTAGCAAGGACTGAACTTGAGAGATGACACTAGCGGGGAGGACCTCCACGAGTTTGTGGTATTTTGCTAGCTCCTTGGTAACGTTGGCAGAATAAAAGGCTGATTCTATGCGGATGAAGTAAAGTTCTGGAGCGTGTTGCCAGAATTCAGGCAAAGTAAAATTGATTGCATGAAGGGACTGGGCGGGGGCATCAAGTTTTTGATCGGAGTGAGACATAATAAGACAGAGATGTCAAAATATCAGAATTCGTGAGGAAAGTAAATGTAAATGGAATGGATATTCACAAGCAAATAGTACGTTAAATGTTATGCAGTATGACAGAAAGCTATAAAGTCTGCGTAAACGTCGGGAGTCACCAATGTCGTAATTCGTAATGTTCTCACGAACTAACGAGTTATATCTCACGAGCCCCTAGCCTTAAATGCAGCAAGTAAATCGGAGCAGTGAATAATATAGAGGTTTTTGAACGTTAAGAAAACTGACAACAGAATACCACAGCAGAGCACGCTAGCACGGCGGGTTGTACAGGTGTGTCGTTTCTCGTCACATTCAAACAAGCAATGCGGTCAAAGGAAATGGGACTAAATTGTCAAAGGTAAATTAGTCTGGTACCTCACCACAAGTATACAGGCTAGGGATTTCTGTAGAAGAGATAAGGTCTAGATTGGGCTTCTAATAATGAAGACGCTGCATATGTCAGGAACGGGAAGAGCGTAGAAATAGCTGCCATAAAAGGACGACCATAAGACGGGCATAGTCGATATTAGTGAAACTACGATTCCCAGGTGTTAAAATAAAGGAAAATGAGGCGTTCACCGGGAGAGGTGTGTTGGAGGTCTGACGCTTCGAGTGATTGCTTTGTCTACCCACCTTTAGAGACTGGAAGGTCATGTGAGCAATTTTCCTCATATGGCGCACCTTGTTTGATACCAGGCCCGTCAATGGCGCCTATGTGGCTGCATCCGGCCCGCATGTCACCGTGACCTGGGTCGCCCCCATCCTCGTCGGCCGCACAGACAGTTGACGGCCCTGATTGTCCCGCACCGTGTACTGTCCCCTGTTATGCAGTTTCGTAAAGTCAGATAGGGGAGGAGGCAAATTGATGTGGCGGTTGACAGAGCAGTCGGTGGACATCCAGGCTTTTTGCACCTGCCTTGACGTTTGATCATCTTCCCGGCTCACAATCTCAACGGCCTCAAAGTTCAAGGTGTGTCCAGTTTGCGCGGCATGGGTTGCTACCTCCGACTTTGAGTCCAATCTTCGCACGGCGAACTTATGCTAGTGCATTCGCGTTTATAGCCGTCAGTCGGTTTCCCCAACGTAGTTGCACCTACCACGGCTGCAGTGAATTCGGTAGACAACTGCCGACATCTCCTGCTGAGGGATTTGGTCTTTAGGTCGCATCAGGGCCGCCAATTGTCTACGCGGCTGACGAGGGTGGGGACGATTCAGGTCACGGTGAAATGCGGGTCAGATACAGCCACACAGGCGCCATTCGCGGGCCACGCATCGAACAACGTGAGCCATATAAGGAGAGCTGTGCACATGACTTCTCAGTCTCCGAGGATAGGTAGACGAAACGGCTACACGGAACCTCAGACCTCCAATACACTTCTCCCGGTGAACGCCTCATTTTCTTCTGACAAGCGTATCGTCTAAGTCTCTGGCAAATGACGTAGGGCAGAAAGACCTGATGTCACTGACGATATACGCTATTACATAATAACTAGCATTCTTCCTTTTTCCATTTTCACGCTTCCTCATCCTTTGGTTTCGAAGATATCTTACAGGAAGTGTCATTTACTAAATCGCAAATAGAACAATCAGATGAAAAAACGGTGCAATTTACGAGACAAACGACGTCGACATAGCAGCTATCTGTACCTTATTCACTGTCCTTTCAACCAGGCACTCGGCGAGCTATTCAGTCGGAACCCCGTAAGGATGCGCTTCCTACAGTTCTCACACGGCTGACGAAAACGTGAAGCAACCCGAATGACACACCTTCACAATTCTACTGTTCATCTCTTGCCATAAATGTCGGCGCGGTCTCAGTGGACCAGTTAAGCAGTACTTAACGCACGGCTGTTATAGAAGCATCGGGTGTTAGCCATCTAGATGGGAAGATTCATTCAATACTTCAGAGCGCATGTCTGGGATGTGTTTAGGAAAGCCTGCGGGTCGCCTTATTGAAAAGCCAGTCCAAAGTAAGTTTAAGTCTCTATGCGCCGTTAATTCAGAGACATTCTTCAGAATGACCAGGGTGAGGTTATATCAACTGGCAGAGCTTTTAATATCAATAAGATTAGGACGTGTTCACAGGGTTCTGACCCACATTAGTGTCCATACATTCACCTCTGCGAAACTTATGCACTGTCTGGCAAGTGTGCGTCTACTCGGCTTTCTACGAGAAAGCAGCTGTCTCGCAACTTATCCCTTCCCATGCCTTTCAAGGTTACTGATCATCACTGACAGACGCACTGATTAATCTTCACGGCGTCGTCAAACAGACTGGCACCCCTTGTTATGATGACGGTGTCAGAATAGACGTTTCACGCTGTGGATCAACCTATGTTCGACGTACTATGACTATTCATTTAGGGGCGTTGACTTATTTCATGGCTATGGTTTGGTAGGCTGTCTTATAACTGGAGTCGATTGTAAACAGTCAAAAACTAATCTTAATCGCGAAAAGAGGGTGGTCAACGTGTTTGACGTAGTCGACTACGATTCCATTAAACCGCACACTTCAAGACATGATCTGCGATGCACTTAGGCTTATTAACGTATATCGCCCGCTTCAGCATGACATGTCAAAAATAATCATATTACCATAGCTTAAGACGTTCTCTGTGTGGCAAAATATCGAACAAACATGAAACATTGATATAAATGATCCAGAAATGGACACCATAGTCTCCGTTGTTTACAACGATACTCTCTTCGACATATACACATGGACGCTATGCGACTGCCCTCGCGGGAGCTAGATTGAGGCCCAATGCAAAACATCACCAACATGTCCTGCTTGATGAACGTTTTTTCGACATCCATTTGCAACCGTCCCAGAACGAAAGTGCGTGGACAATATCGACAATGGAGTTCTTCTCTGAGGATATGAAAGTGCAGTTAATTCGGTCACAAACGCCGACGGTTGCCACATCCTTGTCCACACGGTGAAGAATGAATGCGACCGAGCATCTTGTAAGTTGCCAAGACAGCACGTACCATTAAGTGTGGGAACCGTTAGCATATATAATTTAACATAAGTGGTCTGTGGATGACTACATTCACCATAACATTGCATAACATGATCTGGCAGACAGCCATCATGATCGGTCTGACGTCATTGTTCAAGACCTCGCTGCCTCAAGGTCATTCACCCTTTTGCAATGAGTCGCCCTAAACGCGCTGACCTGAAGTCACACGACCGACAGCTCGGGCATACCCGCGTCCGCACAGCCGCAGCTGCCCATGCGGCCATTAGAACACACCTCCCCCTGCAACCACAACCTAAGCCACTGGGACACCACCCCTCGGCAAATGCAACGCACGCTGACTGGTCACCACTTGAGCTTGGCCCACGAGCCTACAAAAGCGGCTGCCACCACTATCTCAGGGACTCTCAGGCCTGACTGGACGCAGTCAACACCAGCCCTGGCTTCGCCAGTGACCATTGCTGCCTGAGAAGACAACTCCGGGTTCTTTGAACAATAAACCCCTCATTCTGGTGCATTCCGTCTTCTCCTTCCAACCTGGGATTTGATTTGATAAATGTAGCTCAGCAACTGCACACATTCTCACTGCTGAGTCGCGACAGATACGCGAACCACTGAGTGCGTCAGGAACTAGTAAATCGCTTCAGTGCTGAAATTTACGTATACATCCAGTTTGTATTCTTCAGAAGTGACTGCGTTCGCAAATATACACGCGTTATGTTCGCTGACCCTGGCGCGACCGATATGGACAGTCCATCACCTTTTAGGGGTCTTAATGAAAACTGCCCTGCTAGAAATATTCACAAGGTTACGCTAATGCTCGCGCACAAACAATGACCGTTTTTTGTCATAAATCGAAATTCACTGCCTTTCTGCTTTTTGTAACACCTCAGAGTGCTAGGGGAGAGCCCTGAATACGACTTTGTGCACATCTTTTTGGAAGAGAGCCCATAACATATGCCAATATTTGAAGTGTGACAGCGCGCCTGGTTGTAGGCTAACACCGCGTCAATGGAGGATCTGGGTCTCCCCGCTTTTTGTTGGTTAAAATCCTGATCGGTGTCCGTTGTGGACTAGAGACTGCGGCGTTACGCCTAGGTGCGGGTTTGCGCCAAGCTAGCCGCCTGGGCCCTCTCCCGCCTCCGGTCTTTTGAACTCTGTATCGACACCGGATCCATGTGGGGAGGATGAGAGAGTGCGATAGGTGCTATGCAAGTGTACTATCACCAGAAACTAACTCATGCACAAGTCACTGTTCCTGTTTTCCCCCTTCTGCGGAACACACGATAAACACCGTCGGTCATGATGGTCAAACTGTCGTATGAGAGGCATAAACAACAGCTGATTTCTTCAATGCGATTCCGAGTTCTCTCCAAAAAGATAAAAATGCATCATTTCAATGAGGGTGTTAGGGTAGCAGTCTTGCACGGTTTCAGTTTCCGTTTATTTGAGGGAAACATAGGTGTTGAACCTTTGAACTCCCTCTTTGTTATAATGAAGCAAATTATATCGAAAAATTGAAAACGGAAACATCAAACAGGTACAGACGTTTCTTAAGATTAACAAAGTTTTTGAAACCAGACGGATAACCGAATTATACAAGTGTTAAAAACATTA